AGATCGTACTGTGTCTTTCTGAGACACGTAGGCTTAATTATTGTCCAGGATCACATACTAACAATAGTGACTTGATACCGTGACGGAGGCTGACATCTAAGAAATAGGGAACTTGGCGCAATAAAAAGGAATTACGGTCTGATCAGCTGCCCAGTGACCGAGTGGGTAGCATGCTTGCGTTCTTCCTGTGATGTCCCGAGTTCGATCCGCAGTTGGGTCGATGGATTTGCACTGCTGGTTAGACCCAACCAGGTCGAAACAGCTGTCCAGTGCCTTCTAGCTTTTCAGTTCACACCTCATTTGCCATATACACGACGAACCATCCCTTTAAAAAGGAATTATTAGAGGAGGAAATCCACTGTAATTATAGGGAAACAACGATCAAGAATAATAGGAAAGTGTTGAGATGTAGAAACCTGCGGCTATAATAATGGTTGCACTCTTTTTCGTTTAGGTAGCAATGCATGCCCCAGGAAAGTAGGTGACTGAGGTAATTACGGAATCCGATTCGTATTCAGCAACACCGTCTTAAGCGATGGGCTGAACACTTCGAGACTGAGTTCAACTGGCCTGCATTGCTATCTGATCTATCAACCCCCACCTCGACTGGGCACATACTAACAGTTGATGCCATCCCTCCATATGATATGGAGGTATCCCGGGAAATTCACTATTTCCAAAGGCATAAGGTCTTTGGCCTAGATGGGCCGTTCTCATCGACTTTTGAGGATTAAGGTTCAGCGTTAATCTTGGAGTTGACGAAACTCCTGGGCTCAATATGGGAAGAGAAAACAGGTTCCAACCGAATGTTGTGAATCGGTCATCTTACCGATTTACAAGAAACGTGACAGATCCTCTTGTGAAAACCGCAAAGGAATTAGTTTACTCAACATTGCCTCTAACCTTCTCGCCGGCATCATACTCCGTTGATTGTCTGCCGCACGCATAAGAACCGGGCTATTTTTAGACCTAGTGGAGGTTGTATTGACCACATTTTCACTCTTCACTAAATTCTGGAGCACCGACATTCTTTTCGTAGACCCATCATCTCTGTCTTCCTCGATCCGAAAGCGGTTTTCGACCCAGTCGACCGCTCTGAACTCGGGCGCTAACTTTCCCTG